TGTGGCGCTCCTGGCTGGCGGCGCGGTCGCACAGGTAGACAGCCAGACAGGCAAGGATCGCGGGGCACCGTCTGCCGCAGGAGCAGGGGACCTCGGGCCTTCCCCAGCCTCACCGGGGCCTCCTCGGCTCTTGTCCCTTGCGAGCTGGAATCTGTCAGGCAGGACCCGTTTTACCCTGGCGGCCTCGGGCTCTCCAGCTGGCCTCTCCCCCTGCTGCAGCTCCTGAGGCTCCTGAGGCTCCTTCAGCCTGAGGCTCTGCCTGCCTGCCACGCCGGCATCAAGATGGCCGCTGCCTCCTTGCACGTCCTGCGAGTGGCTGTGGTAACTTAGGTCCTCCCGCCCTACCGCCTGGTGGTGGCTGCTAGTTTTCATGGCGCTCCACCCGGGACCACTCAGACTCCTTGTGTCAGCACCGTCCAGCAGGGGATCCCTCTCCGGTGGGCCGCTAACCTCCGGCTCCTGCAGTCCCTCCCGGCTCTGGTACTGTTCAGTCACCAGCGCTGGGTCCTGGGGTTTCACCTGCCACGTAGGGCTGGGATTTGCCGTGTACGGCGATCCCTCAGGCCCTGGAGACGGGGAAGAAAGCTGCAACATGCTTCGCCTCCGGGCCAAGAATCTCTGGAAGGCCTCGTTGACGCTCGGCAGGGTGTCCTTGGGGCACAGGAGATGCAGTTTGTACCGGTCTTTGCTGACACGGACCTGCTCGGAGCATCCTTGCAAGAGGCCGCACAGCTCGGACAAGGCCTCGTCGCTGGGCCCGTCCACATCGAGTTCGGAGTAGCTGAAGCTCTGGCAGATGAGAGCAGGACACACCCTCCGGCAGAGAGCCTCCATCTTCCACCTGGCCTGGAGGAGCTTGGTCCGGTCCTCGGCGGTGAGCGTCAGCACGGCGCCGTCGCTGCCCCTGCGCTCGGAGAGCAGGACGCCGCCCTCCCTGCACAGGCCGGCGATCACGGCGCCGTGAACGTCTTTCAGGCGGGGCGGCGGGCGCTTTGGAATCGAGTGCGGAGCAGGTCCCCGTGGTGTCAAACAGGCTCAGGGATTTGAAGGCAGCAGACACGTCGCTCATGGGCTGAGGCCTCACGGGGCCGGGGCTTTCTTTACCTCCCCCACAGAGACGAGTGCGGAGCAGGTCCCCGTGGTGTCAAACAGGCTCAGGGATTTGAAGGCAGCAGACACGTCGCTCATGGGCTGAGGCCTCACGGGGCCGGGGCTTTCTTTACCTCCCCCACAGAGAGACAGCGTCTTGGGCCTCAGGGGCAGGGAGCCCCCCTTCCGTTCCTCCCAATCCTTCA